GGGCCTGGGCCCTTCTCATGTCTGTGAGCGTGGCTCATGTGTACAGCCAGCCCTTGGGTTTTCCCTGTGCTAACTTCAACAGTACAGGCCCGAGCTGGCTTTCTGGCTGCACTGACTTTAGCACGCATGCCAGCACTACTGGTTCTGGGTCCCACACCACCATCCCACTGTGCCCTCGCTCAGAGCACACCCCTGGGACACAGCAGGGCTCATCTCAACTTCACCATTGGTAAAGCAGCTGCCAGGCACTCTCGTGACAGTGATGCCGTGGGAAGCATGGGAGGCAACTTCCGTGCTTCTATCTCGAGTGAGGAAGCCCAGGTGGGGTTGGAGAGATGGCTCAGTGGTTGAGAGCAGTGGCTGCTCTTATAGATGACCTAGGTTCAGTTCCCAGCATCCACATGGCAGCTGACAACCATAGTAACTCCAGTTCCAGGGGATCTGACTCCCTCTGCTGACACTGTAGGACACCGGTGCCTTTACATACATATAGTATGTAAGCAATACACATGAAATAAAGTAAAAGAAAAGGAAGCCCAGGTGAAGGTGGGTGAGAGCCGGGGCCTGCATCTGTCTGGTTTCCCAGCAGGGGCTGGCGCTCAGTTCCCAGTCTACCTGCCAGGTCAGCACAGTTTCTGTGACTCCCAGGAAATTCATGCAGGGCGAAGGGTGCCTGTGAACAGAGGCTATAGATGTGGGCCACTCACATATTGTTCCTGTGCTCCTGTGAAATTCTGCCCAACATTGTCATTCATTAGAGCAGATCACACCTGCTGCCTTAGACACAGGTCAGTGTAAAATGGATAGTTTTAATCTCCTGTGTTGTGTGGTACTGGAGGAAGCAGGCGGCTGCAGTTCATTAAAAATTAAAAGGTAAAGGAGCCTGCATTGATTTCTTTGACATTACAGAGCTCTGACTTCATAGGGAGCCAGGCCCTATGGGTCCTTGTAGAGAATGCCTTCCCCCAATAGGCAGGCACTGCCCGTTGAGTACCTGGGGCTGTGCAGACGGGTATCAACAGCCTAATGGGCAGTTCTGCTGGGAGGTGGCTGTGTTCTGCCCGTGGGATGTCACTATTCAGGTCAGCCTGGGCATGGCATGGCTGCCCAAAGCTGGGGAACGATGCCAGCGAGGACAGAGTTGAGTGTCACAGAGTTGGCTGTTCACAGAGCAGCACGGTGGCCGTGGTGGCTTCTTAGTTTTCACAGGCAGTTGTGTTTTCTGAGCCCAGGGAGCTCCTGGGGCGACGATAAAAAGGGGTAGGAGTCAGCCCTGAGCATCCAGGACACTGGAGAGGGGCACGGAGTTTGATGTTGATGTGAGCATGGGGTGGTGGGTGGGAGTTCAGAGGATCTAGGGGCAGAAGACTGTCATGCACAGTTGGGAAGCAGGTCGAGTGGGTGTCCAGCAGGAATGTCCCATGAGGATGCCCCACTGTCTAATCAGAAGAGCAGGGGCACAGAGAGCCCAGGGCCATCCTTCCCTTGTTGGGATCCCTGGGAGGACTCAGTTGCAAGGAAGGTGCAGAGGTGCCTCCCCAGGGGGTCCTGGACTGCCTGCCCCGGCCAGAGGGTTAGGAGGCCTGACTAGTGGGTTAGCAATGGGGATTCTGCACAAGGGGTGTGTTGGTCCACAGGCTGGTGAGTAATCATGACAGAGACTGATTTCAGCTCACAGTCAAGTCCAAGGTCAAGGGCCCACATCTGGTAATGATCTTCTGGAGGGCAAACACCTAAGGTGGCCCTGGGCCCCACAAGGTGCGAATCAGAACACGTTTGCCTCTTCTGGTCCCCCTCTACCTATAAAGCCACCAGGACTGACTCTGTCCTGGAGACCTTACCCTAATCCTTTCCCACGTACCACAGCTGCGTTCAAGTCTCACCTTCCTACATCACAGGATTAAACTCTCAACACATGGCACCTTGAGGGCCACTCCGACTGTTCAAACGAGCAGGAATTAGTGGAGGCCAGAGAACAGCCGGCCTAGCCACTGGGGACTCTCCTGTGGCAGGTGGAATTTAGTGCCCGGGGCTGACACGTTACGGGACGCTCCAGGACCATCCTCGGGCTCTCATGTTTAGGGGTGCAGCTAGGGTGGAGGCAAATACGAGGGAGGGGAACTGTAGTCCAGCAGTAAGGCTGTGCCCTGTGCGCTGAGACAGCTGGAGGGAGACTGGGCCCCACATTACTTCGGCAAAAGCCTTGGCTACCTGCCAAGGGCCCTGTGGGGCTGAGGCCTGAGTGTGGGTGTAGGTGAGCAGGGTGGAAGGACCCCCCCCCACTTCAAGCCTTTGTTTTTGAGGAGGTGGGGTACAAAAAGGGAATGTGTGCTCATGCTTTTAGGACCCAGGTGGGTCATCTATCAGTGAGGAGAGGTGGGCCCTGGGCCCAGGCCTGAGGGGACTTCTCTGGCCCCATCCTACCCTGCTCCCCCATGCTCCTGGCCATTCAGCCCGACCATTTAGCCTCAGGCACAAAACAGCCTCCTCGGAGCCACATGTATAGAAGGGGCCTCTCCTGCCTGGGGCTCACAGTACCACATAAAAAGACTGCTGCGAGGCTGGAGAGATGGCACAGTGGTTAAGAGCACTGACTGCTCTAGCAGAGGACCCAGGTTTGATTCCCAGCACCCACATGGCGGGTGAGAACCATCCTTGACTCCAGTTCGAGGGGAATCCGAAGCCCTCTTCTGACCTCCCCGGCATTGCACGACATGGGTGTACTCACATACTTGCAGTACACCCATACACATAAAAATAAAATTTTAAAGGGTGAAGAACAGTAGAGAAAGACTCCCGACTTCACCCTTGGCCCCCACATGCTGTCACATGAGCGTGCATGTGTGGAAAAAAGCCATCAAGATCATTAGAAGTCAGGAAAGTCTGAGAAATTGTCATAGTCTGAGGCTAATGGGGAGATATGACAAAATGTGATGTGATCTCCTGCATGGGATTTTGGCACACGAAAAGAGCATTAGGGGCCAGGGGATGTAACTTAATTGATACTTACCTAGGATACAAGAAGCCCTGGGTTTGATCCCCAGCACCTCATAAACCAGTTGTGGTGGTGCATGGCTTTTGTTTTATATATACATATGTATATATATGAAATTGCCACGGTATAGTAAGGTACAGGTATACACTACAGCACAGTTGTACAGTGTGGTACACCAGGGCACCGTAGGGTACAAAGGTTGCTGGTGTTTGTGGTATTGTAGGGGTGCCTGCCAGAGTACAGTGGTATGTGCTGGGCAGAGTGGGTATGCTGGATAAATTGGGGTGCAGAGCTGTACTAGATGCAATGCGGTGTGCTGGGGTATACCAGCTTAGCACTGGGTTGACCCCCGCTTTCCTGTGAGAAGTTCGGTGAGCTGCCCAGTCCAGAGGAAACCCGTTTGTGGACTGTGCTGAGCCTTGTCTCAGGCAAGACTCCCTCAGAACCACTGTAATCCAGGCCTCTCCCCAGCCCACAACGGCACATGGCAAAGGCTGCTGTGCACTTTGTATCCTACTCTTGCTTTGTGTCTACCATGCTTTAGGGGATGGTGACTATTTCTTTAATACTACTGCATTTATTGTGTATAGGGGTAGGTGTGTATGCACGTGGAGGTTAGTGGACAACTTCTGGAAGTTGGTTCTCTTCTAGGGATCAACCTCAGGTCATCAGGCTTGGTGGCAAGCCCCTTTGCTCAACTGAGCCATCTTGCCAACCTAATAGTGACTAGTTTAAACGCTTTTTGGGCTATTGGAGCGGTCAGTCTGAGCCAGGCACTAACATCAGACTCTCCAAGTGCCTTGTTAGAACCAGTGTTTCTCAGAGGGGAGTGATGCTCACAACCAACCCACCCTGGGCTCTGAGGCCCCTTCCCCAGTGGATCACAGCAAGAGGAGAGGAATGGAAACAGGGATCTAGGCTGGTGTTTGCTTCCTTTGCCTACATCCAAGTGGTGGCCTTCCCTGTGCAGCCCTGCAGGATCCCTCCAGGCAGCAGGACGTAGCTACAGAGTGCTGTTCCTCTGCCTTCCTTCCCTGTTGTGACCCTGCACTGCCTGTGGGCCCCAGTACTGTGTCCTGCCTCATTCCAACCTGAGGGCGTCTCAGCCTGTTGAGGAGTGTTGAGGTTACGCTAGAAGGAGCCGGGTGTCTAGGGAGGCCTGTGTTTGTCACGGCGAGCCATGGACCATTCAAGGAGAAATACTAAAGAATGACCACACCCACTACCAAAGTCCAAGCTCCACGCTTGTCGGTGCTGATGTTTTCATCTCCTGCCTCAGGGTAGGGGTGGAGGGTAGGGTGCAGGACCGTGTCTGAGGCTGGAGCATGCACAGCAGCACTTGGCCATCCTTGGCTGCCGTGATTCCCAGTGTAACATGACTTCGTGGGTGTGGTAATGTGGTATCGGTGAGCACGGGTGCTCACCTGCTCCTCATCCTGGGTGACTCCCGAAGAGGTCACTGTGGTCCGGTCTCAACACCTTGGGAGTACAGGCAGGGTGTGTGAGGGCAAAGGAGTTCTGGGGACTGATGGCCAAGTTCTCAGGCTGGCCGGAAGGAAAGTGCATGGGTGACCACTTCTGCCATCCCATCTTGTCTGACCATCCTTCAGTCTGCAATGAATGGAGGTCTCAGAATACAGATACTAGAGGCCACTAGGCGTAATGGCTGACCATCAGCTCCTGGACATTTTACTGGGAAGGTTTGAGCACCCAATGTCAATAGTGCCATACATGCTGCAGCCCTGGCCTCCTCAGAGCCTAGAAGGGCTGTGGATACTGAGCAGATGGTAACCAGGTGTGTCAAGCAGAGGCCCTGGGAGGACCGAGGTCTACTTTGGACACAGGCCCTGCTGGTCTGAGGTAGGGAAGTTGTCCCTCCCAAATTCCTCTGTCCTCTCTGCTCCTGCAGTTTGGAATAACTCAAACTCAGTTGGGCTCTGGGCTCTGGCCCTGCCTTGGGCCAGAGCCCCGTGGCCCCAAGCCTCAGCCCCCTTTCCTCCCCCAGGGTTCAGGTGGAGTTCTATGTCAACGAGAACACCTTCAAAGAGCGCCTCAAGCTGTTCTTCATAAAAAACCAAAGATCCAGTGAGTGGTGGGCCTAGGATGCTCTGGGAGGGGAGGGATGGGGGGGTAACCCAAGGAGATGTCTCAGCCACATGGGCACAAGGGACAGGGCATCTCAGCTTCCCAATGTCTAGAGTAACCTGTGGACATGGCCTCCCTCCCGAACTGGGCCAAGCCATCCACAAGAGCCAGCCAGGTGTCCTCCCCACTACCACCCCAGCTCCTCCACCCTGGGGGTTCCCACCTCTATGCTTTCCCCTCTCTCTGAAGACCCCCTGTTCCTTCCCAACTTCAGGCTGACCCACCTGAGTTGTAAAAAGGGACTTGGAAGTTAGGCTATGGCTTCAAGTCCCCCAGTCAGTTTCCATGACTGGAGTGCTTAAGGAAATCCCTGTACCCTGAGCCCCAGCACCCCGGGCCTCAGTATCTCACCTGTACAGTAGTGGGATGGGTCCTGGCGGGGTGGGGGTGGGGGCTGGTGCAGATGTATCTGTTCTTCTCTCTGCCTAGAATATGAGTGTGAGTTGGGGGCCAATGCAGGGCCGCCCCAGGAAGGAGCTGTTAGAGAGACCCCAGCAGAATGGGTGGGCCTGCTCCTTGACACCCCTACCCTGATGCCACCTCCCTACAGGTCTGAGGATCCGGTTGTTCAACTTCTCCCTCAAGCTCCTCACCTGCCTTCTCTACATCGTCCGCGTCCTACTGGACAATCCAGACCAGGGCATCGGATGGTGGGTGGCCTGTAGAGCTGGGGTCCTGAGGCTCAGCTTTCCCACTGAGTCCCAATGGCATTACAGAGGCCCATGTGGGAGACTGGAGCAGGCGCCTCCCAAGAAGCCCTGTAACCGGAGCCTTGGGAACCTTTCCTTCCTCCATTGTGACTCCCAGAGCCATGCCCAGGATGCCACCCAGGCTCCTGCTGACTGGGTTATAACATAAGAGGGGTTTCCAATGTGGTGCTGCACATACAACTGGACCCAGAAGGTCTAGGGCAAAGCTGGAGGGTCCAGGAGTCACCTGTGTGGGTGGGTTTGCAGTTTGCTTCAGCCCCTGAAAGTCCAGTTGGGACCACCTGGCCCTTGTGTGACAGGTGTGGTCCTCTGAGTTTCCGGAGAGTCCACCTGCCCCTCTGGCCCTGAGTCCTGCTCCTTGGTCACTTATACCATAGCATGTATGCTACAACCATGTGGAAGAAGAAGGATTGCTGCCACGTGTCCTTGCAGGAGCCCATCAGATGGGGCTGTGAACTTCCTCTGAAATCTCTGTGGGCCGCCTCTGCCTTGACTGCTTAGAGAAGTCAGTGGCATTTCCCAGCCCAGATCCTTCAGGGACATCATTGAGTCTCTGGAAGCTGCCTTGGTGAGCCTCTGGCTCATTTCTGGGCTGGCCCAGCGGCCCTCTGCTAGGGTTGTCTTGAATTGTGTCCTGGTAGATATTGGCTCTATGTTCCCTGGGGTTCAGAAGCTGGGCTCTGGGTTTCCTGAATGCCTGTCAGTTCTGGCTCCTACTCGGCCCCTTTTGCTTCTCTCCACTCTCTGAGGTGGCACTATTCACCCTAAGTCTGAGTTCTGCATCCATCATGCCCTGGCTTCCTGAATCCCTCTGAGGATGCTGTCCCTGGCCCTTTCCCTTGTTAATTACCTCTTCCCTTGAGCTCATGTTACATGTGGTTTGCACACAATTTGGGCAAATATGTGGCTACATTTGCAAGGGGGCTCAGACGCCACAGGACTCTGCAGTCAGGGCCCGGAGTGTAAGTAACACTTCTGGGCCATCTGGACTTTGCCAACATTGACTCTTCTCTTTGGCTTCTCAGAGCAGGCTCTTTCTGGATTGCTAGGGTCTTGGAAACAACCAAGCAGGAGGCTAGACCCTGGACCCCGTGTGCAAACTTTACTGAATTCTCTTTTTTTTTCTGTTACCCACTTTCATGGGAGACTAGGATTTCCAGACCAGAAAAACCCTTACTTGTTATCGAGAACAAATCTCCCATCACTGTTCAGGGCAGAGGAGGGAAAAACTCTGTAGTGGTTCGAGGAGGACAGAGTCTATACTGATTCTCAAAACACTTGTCTCACTTTGTCCCACATTCTCTAAGCCTCAGGGTCTCCGGACCTTCTGATTCCACCTCTCCAGAGGACCCACCTCTATTGAATTCATCCCACCATAGTGAGTGGGACTGTGGGTACACGATAGATGGATGGGTTACCGTTGGGTCATTGTTGGATAGGTGGATGATGATGGGTAGTAGTTGTGAAGAAGGTTGTGTAGTTGTATCAATAGATGAGATGTTGAGTAGATACTGGATAAGAGAACACACGTGTGAATCACAGATCAGATGATGACCGTTAGATGGATGCATGGACTGTGATGAGGTACTGGATGGATAGATGTTGAATAAAATGATGGGAAGGAGGGAGGGGGATGGCAGGATGGGACACCTAGAGACTCCTGTGGGTACTGAGTGCAGGAACCCCAATAAAGCTCAGGTGGAAAGTAGGTCAGTGAGATAGGAGGGAACCAGAGCTGCCCAACTCTGGGCTCTGTGAGCGCTGAGGCCCCCAAGATCTGACTCAGGTGCCAGTTATGGTCTGGAGCAGAGCAAGCATGTTGGCTGTGCCCTGCCTCCTCCCATCAGCTGGTTCTAAGAGGTTTAAAGATGCTCATCTCCAAGTGGCTTAGGGATGAGGTCGTCGAGTCAGAGCCACCTCAGGATGAGGGTTTTCTCTGTCTCTCCAGCACTGACCAGCCCTGTCAAGGCAGCTCCAGCTGCTGGAGGGTCTGAGTATCCACACTGGATCATCTGTGTCCATGCAGGCCCCCTCCCCAGAGCTTGTCATCAGCACAGACGAGAGCCCCTACTTTCCTCTGGGCAGCATCTCACTGTGGGGCTGGATCCTCCAAACGGGGACATGTTCTCCATGCTTCTTGGTTAGAGAGCTTTGTTGCATGGTCACTGCAGGCCAGGAAGTCCCCGTGTGCTCAAGTGTTAGAGCACCAGCTCCATTTGGGACGTAGGGTCGTCCCTGGGTGGGCAAGTTGGGTACCCTTTCCATGTACCCTGAGCCCTTAACGGCCCTGGAAAAGATCCTTGGTGTTGGCACTTGGCGGGGAGGCCTGTGGCTGGGTCAGTGCCTGTGTCTCTTCACAGCTGGGGCTGCATGAAGTATAATTACACCTTCAATGGCTCATCCTCGGAGTTCCATTGGTGAGTTCTCTCCTGACTCCCAATTGCCAGACAGCTCTGGGCTACGGTGAGGGTGGGGGTGGACAGGATGGTGGATGGGGGTTCAACTGTGTAGTACAAGTGTGTGTGTTGGAGGGGTGATTCCCAGCCTCAGAGCCACTAAGTTCCCTGGGACATGTTCACCTGCACCCCTGAAGCCCGGGTGGGGTCAGTGCTGGGAATGCCCCCCTCAGGGGAGCAGTTGAGAGCTATAACAAATGTCATTTCCTAACCCTCCACGTCTGGCCATGGGCTCCCGCTGCCTTGGTACCAACTCTTCCTGAGCCCTGCTTGGAGGAGCCTGTGGAGTGGGTGCCAAGCCGTTGTGGCCCTGCCCCAGGCTCACCTCCTTCTTTTCCCAGGGCCCCCATCCTGTGGGTGGAGAGGAAGATGGCTCTGTGGGTGATCCAGGTGAGTGCCAACCTGACTTTCCTCCCCCAACAGTGGGGGCTGCTCACAAAGGCCAGGTACTTAAAGCACACCGGCGCTTGATAAGCAGGGGGCCCCGAGCTCAGTAAGTAAGCAGGAGATCCAGGCTAGGTAGTAGGAAACCCAGGCTAGGTAAGGAGGAGACCTAGGCTCAATAAACAGGGGACTGGGACTCAGGTTCAGTAAATGAAGACCCAGGCTCAGTAAGGAGGAGAACCAGGTTCAATAAGCAGGGGACTCAGGCTTAGTAGATAATGATCCAGGCTCAGTGAGGATGAGGCCCATACTCAATAAGTAGGGGACCCAGACCACATAAGGAGGAGGCCCAGGCTCAGTAAGCAGTAGACGAAGGCCTAGCAACTTTTACAAATTTGCCAGAGACTGCTGAGACCATACTGTCACCATTCGTCAATTAGAACCTCTCCTTCCTGCTGACTTGCTCGGTCCTTGCAGAAATGGGGTTAGGTGACCCAGGCCAGCTTCTGATGGGTGTTTCACAGCCTTGTCACTGAGTGAGTGGTACCGGCTCATGACTGAATGCAGTGCCACCACCAAGGGCTAAAGAGGCCTGGGTCTCCACCTGGAGGGTCCCACGGGACTCATGGATGCCTGTATTAGGAGGAAGGTCCAGCCCTGCCAACACTGCCAGGTCCCCACCCTTCCCATCTCACCTCCACCCCCTGGAGTAATTTCAATGTGCTCTTTAAACCTGCCCCTCCTGCCTCATCTGCCCTGTCTCTGCACAGAATGCCTCAGTAGGGCACAGACAGTCCAGGCTGCCTTCCACCACACCCTGGGACCAGTTAAGACCACCTTGATGCAGCGCTGAGAGTATGGTAGCCCTGTACACACACATGCATGCACACACACACTCATAGGCACCAACATGCCCAGCTTTGTGAGGACCCTGCTTGCTGAGTCCCTTGAAGCCCTGCCCCCAGCCTCCTGATCTGCTCCAAGTCTCTCTGCTCTTAGGTCATTGTGGCCACAATAAGCTTCCTGGAGACCATGCTCCTCATTTACCTCAGCTACAAAGTGAGTCCCTCCCTGTGGCTACCCCACCCTCTCTCTCCATGGCCCCTCCAATAAGCAGAGGACCCAGGCTCAGTAAACAGGGAATTGGTGTTCAGTTGCTCCCCGACCCCAAGAAACCCTTCCCTCAGTCCTCACCTGCCCTTCCCAGCTCTCCTGCCCCAACGTTATTCTCTGACCTCAGGGTCTGCCTGTGGCCCTGCCCCTGTCCCCTCCCTGGCTCTGAAGTCCCTCTGTTCCCCAGGGCAACATCTGGGAGCAGATTTTCCAAGTGTCTTTCATCCTGGAGATGATCAACACGCTGCCCTTCATCATCACGGTGGGTGAGCCCCAGCCCCAGTCACCACTGCCCAAGCCCATGCTTGACCTGTGCCTTCACCCCCCACCCCACAGGTCTTCTGGCCGCCTCTACGGAATCTGTTCATCCCTGTGTTTCTCAACTGTTGGCTGGCCAAGTACGCGCTGGAGAACATGATCGTGAGTGAAGCCTGGCCTCTGCCAGCCCCACAAGGGCAACTTCCCCACCTGCTGGCGGAATCAGGCAGTTGCCAGGAGACCGAGTGAAAGGCAGAAACCTTGTCCCTGTCCCTGCCGGCCTCTTTCTGTGAAGACAGCTTTTCCCGACCAGAGCTGGGGAGGTGGAACAGAGTGCAGATGTGAGCAAGCCCAGCCAGGAGGACTGGGCCATGGGCACGCAGGCTGTTTCTACAGTCCTCCTCCTGCTGGTGTCCAAGTGATTTCCATCCTAAATGAATGAAGGCCAAGCTGATAACTGTCTCTCTGGTGTCTCGCTGCCTCTTGGTCATCAGGCCCCTGGAATCAGCCTTGTTCTGATTGCACAGGGGGTGTTAGTGATCTGGAGTCAAAGCTGCTGGCACTTTTTGCTCCTCTGGTCTCACCCCAGGGCATGGCCCATCCTGAGACCAAGCTGAGTTCAGGGTGATCTGTGCAGGGCAAGGTTGCCTATGGACCCTCTCCTGGGATATAAATGTGGCCAGGCCTCTGCTTGCTAATACGTGCAGGGTGGGCGTTGGTCCTTGGATCCTGCCCTCTGATGGCCACGTCCTCTGCAGAACGACTTCCACCGAGCCATCCTACGTACACAATCAGCCATGTTCAACCAGGTGCTCATCCTCTTCTGCACCCTGCTATGCCTCGTCTTCACGGGGTGAGTGCCCTGGACATCACACAGTCTCATCGGGTGGCCAGGGATAGCCCGTTCCTTGGGCAGACCTAGAGCCTGGAGGACAGGCCAAGGGGTGGACAGATGGGGCATAGAGTTGACTATAGAGCCTTACTCCAAAGTCTCATGTCCAGGATTCAGAGTCAGGAGGCCCCCGTGTCGGGGCTACAAGTGTGTCCCACCCGGTTGGCTACATCTACAGCTCTGAAGGAATTGGCCCTGGGCTACATGGGGCCCTTTAGTTTGATGTCTTGCTAAGAACAGCCAGAGTAATGTGGGGGGTCATCACTTACTAACCCTCAGGCAAGGATAAGCTGGCTCAGTAGCCATCCATGGCCAGGAGGAACCAAGTCTTAGCGTCAGCCAGGCCAGGAGTGGCATGCGGGGCCGGGAGGACAGATGAGCAGCCTGGGAGCTGGAAACCTACCCCCTCTCTGCTGAATCAACTAAGCAGCTTTCCCAGCCTCAGACTCCAACTCAGTGCTAGGGGACCAGGGTCCATCTGTGGGTGGCAGGCATCCAGGCTCAGTTCCACATACTCTCTCACACAGTACTGCAGGTGACCAGAGATGCATTGCTTAGGTCCTGAGTAACAGGGTTCCCAGGACTGGCAGAGCCTCCCCCTCTGGGAGTGGGGAGGATGAGAAGACCCTGCCTCCCGTCTACACCACTGCACCCCACCCCCTCCCTGCCGCAGCCCTGCCCTTTCTCTGGTGCAGCCCCATCCCCTTCAGACTCAGCCCCGCCCCTTTGCTGCTAAAAGCCCAGCCCTTTGGATTTCTAGGACCTGTGGGATCCAGCACCTGGAGCGAGCAGGCGGAAACCTGAACTTGCTGACCTCTTTCTACTTCTGCATCGTCACCTTCTCCACTGTGGGCTTCGGTGATGTGACCCCCAAGATCTGGCCATCCCAGCTCCTAGTGGTCATCCTGATCTGTGTGACCCTTGTGGTGCTCCCACTGCAGGTGAGTGAGTCCTCATGCCCACACAAGGCCAACCAGGAGGCATCCCCTGAGGAGCAACCAAAGGACAGGAAAGAGCCACGGGGATGTGAACATGTGTCAGGAGGCCATTCCTAGAGCACTAGGCCTAGAGGAGGTGGCTCCCATTCTGGGGTGGGCTGTTGCAGAAGGTCTCTTTTGAGTCTGGTGAATGAGGTGGTGATCAACCCGTCAGCACAGTAGATCACAGGCTGTTCCTTCCAGAGGGCCTCAGGTGCCCAGGTGACCTCTTCTAGGCCCTGTGCAGAGGCAGAGGATTGTGGGAATGAACATCACCCCCTTTCCCAACCACAGCCAAGCGCTTCCAAGGCCACAAGCGGCACCTAGAAGGACACTGCTGACCCTGAGCTCTGCCCTCAGGCCAGCCCCATCCCTGGCCTTGGAGGACTAAGCCCCCAGCCCAGCAGGTGACCCTCCACTTCTCTCAGGAAGAGCTGCCTGCCTCCCCACTTCCCCTGTCCAGGGCAGTCTGCTCTGAAAGCCTGCCATGTGCCAGAGGTGCCCAGGTATGAGGTGCCAACTGCCACTGCCTTGGGTAGCCTCCCACACGGAGCTCTGCTCCTGGCATTTGAGGCAGAGCCTGTGCTGGCGGGTCCTCCCTCCGCCCCGTGTGGGGCTGCGCACTGCAGCGGCAGCTTTCTCCGTCGTGATTTGCCGTCCTTGTTCTCCATGGAAGTTGCACGGGGCCATTTGAGGTGCTTCTGCCCCCCTACACCCTTACAGGAAGTTTCTTCCTCTCTGATTGCCTGTTAGAGGGCCCTGCCCTTCTACAGACCGTTGTCGCGTTAATGAAGTCAAATGCAACGAGCTTTCCTGTCACATTTTCCTGTCTTGCCTAAAAAGACCATTCCCTCTCTCAGTCATACACTTCCACTTTCTTCCAAAAGTTTATAAAGTTTGCTTCTTGCATAGAGGATTCTAGCCCACCCAGAATGGAATGTGTGTGCTGGGGCCAGGATGGGCCTGCCTTGGCTCTGTGCCCATCCCTCGTTCCCCACAACAGCACCTCAGCTCTCTAAGCTATGCACATAAGACCCTGGAACATATCTCCCACCTGTGTCAGGTTCCAAAGCTTCTTGGATCTTTGCTTTTTTTGTAGATTTCTAATTCACAAGCCAGTCCTCTGGTAGTGCCGGCCTGTAATTCCAGCTCTTAGGAGGCTGAGGCAGTAGGAGCTCAAGGTCAAAGCCAACTTAGGCTGTATAGCAAGACCTTATTTCCAAAACAAGGGGGACTGGAGAGATGGCTCAGCAGTCAGGAGCACTGGCTGCTCTTGCAGAGGACCCAGGTTCGATTCCCAGCACCCACATGGCGGCTAACAACCATCTATAACTCCAGTTCCAGGGGATTCAGTGCCCTCTTCTGACATCTGCAGACACTGCACAACACGGTTGCACTTACACACATGCAAGCAGTACACACATACACATACAATAAAAATGATGGAATATTTAAATCATCATCATCATCATCTGACTCACCTGTCAAGCTCTGCCTTCCCCGAGCCTCGCTGTGTGGGGGCGTCATCAGAACCCCACTGACGCTTGTCCAGGCCTTGAGCAGCTCCCTTTCCCAAGGTCTTGCACAGCTCTCAGGAAATTTCTTGCTGGTCTTGTTACGTTTTTGTTTCTTCTGCTCGTGCTAGTGTGTGGACTGCGTGTCTGGCAGGCTGTGCTGATCGCTGAAAGTTTCCATGTGCTGCCCCTGCAGAATCATCCTTGATTTCCTCTCCAGTCCTTAAGCCTCTGAGCTCTCCCTTGACCATCTGCTTAGTTGGGTGCAGTGCTTTTCCCTCTCATCTCCCTTTGCTGAGAGCAGAATTTTAAAAATCAATTGCTTTTCATCAGTCCAATTAAGTGTTTTCTCTTTAAAATTGTTACTGTCATAAGTTTTATATATATATATATATGGAGGGATTTTTTTTTTACAGATTTAAGCATTTATTTAGTATTAAACCATTTTTTTTGGTCTTTTTGAGACAGGGTCTCCCTGTAGCCCCAGCTGTCCTGGAACTCACTATGTAGACCAGGCTGGCCTTGAACTCACAGAGATCTGCCTGCCTCTGCCTCCCATGCCTGGCCAGTATTAAACCATTTTAAACCATTCTTGTATTCCTAAGATAAACCCAACTTGTGACCTTTTTTTTTTTTTTTTTTTGAGACAGTCTCACTATGTAGCACTGACTGGCCTGGAACTCACCATATAGGCCAGGCTGGCCTTTAGGCCTTTATACGCATCTTCCTGCCTCTGCCTCCCAAGTGCTGAGATTAAAGGCATGTGCCACCATGCCCAGTTCAAACTTGAGAGTTTCTTTTAATATTTTTATTATTTTATTTTAATGTGTATGCGTGTATTGCCTGCATGTAGGTAAGTGCACCCATGTCATGCAATGCCCTCTGAGGACAGAAGCTGTCGGATCCCCTGGAACTGGAGTTATGGACAGTTGTTACCTGCCATGTGGGAGCTGGGATTTGAACCCAGGTCTTCTGCAAGAACAGCCAGTGTTCTTAACTGCTGAGCCATCTCTCCAGCCCCCAAACTTGCGACTTTTTAAAGTATTATGTTGGATCCTGTTGAATTCTGTTGGGTTCTGTTATTTAACCTCCTTTTAGCTGAGCTAGAACTGTGGATCCCTGCACATGCCACCAGACTCAAGGTGGCCCTGCCTTGGCCATTCTGTGTCTAAGAGTTGCCAGGGCTGGAGGACTGCAAGAGTCTTCTGAGACTCCTGAAAGGTGGCCGACACCCGGAACCCAAACAGCAGGCTTGTACCCTTCACAGTTAAGGAGGCCACATGTCCAAAATCTGGTGTCAGTGAGGTGGTGCCTAGAGGGGTTTTGAGGCTTCTGATATCACCACCTGGCATTTCTTAGATTATAGATGCTTCATACTAGCTGTCTTCCCTGTCCTGTGGCATTCCTCTGGGGGTCCCCTTTCCCCTCCCCTTCTCTCTGTGGGCTTTGGTGATGTGACACCCCAGATCTTGCCATCCCAGCTCCTGGTGGTCATCCTGATCAGATCACAGGTTCCTGACATGAAGGCTATGTCCCGATCTCTACAAAGGCCCCGTATTCTTTCAGATGAAGTCATCCTAGGGAACCCCTTCGCCCACTCTAGATCCTGTCCTCGCTGTGCTGACAGCCCCCTCTACAGAGCCCTCGGAGCTCTGTCCTGGCCTCTCATTCAGATCCCTACCCTGTCCTTCAAGTGACTGGCCCAAGTCCCCTCTACAGAGCCCTCGGAGCTCCTGGCCTCTCATTCAGATCCCTACCCTGTCCTTCAAGTGACTGGCCCAAGAGGCCCCAGCCCCACAGAAGCTGAAGACAATGTCAGGGGTGGATCCATGGGCAGCCCTGGTCCAGCCGTACTTGGCCTTTGTACCCCATCTGACCCTTCTCCTTGCCCCCACACCCCAAAGTGAAGATGACCCTCCACCCCAGCAGCCCCAGAGTCACTGAAATGAAGCAGGAATTGAACTCTGTTTATTCTCAGAGGCTCTGGGCACCCAGAGGCCAAATGGTTCCTGAACCCTGAGGCTCGCTCTCCATGGGGGACCCTGGGAGCCTGAATTCCCACTATAACCACTAAGGGCATCAAAAAGAATTTCTGTCCACCAGAATTAAGATGAGAGAATCTGCCTACCGCTGTAAGGGACCTAAATGGCACTGACAACAACCTGTCCCACTATATTAAAGCAGAATAGGGTGTGGTGGGGCCAGCTCTTCCGTGTCCCACTGCTGTGTTACCTCTTGAGTCTGGGCTGCCCCATTTTGCCCTGAAGCATCAGTAAGCCCTCACTTTCCCTGATCTTCAGACCCATGGAGTAGATTCTCAAAATGCGCCATGGTTACAAGATCTGCGTATGAAGATTGGCTCTGCCTGAGCAGAGGACCCACGCCCAGTGGTTTCCACGGGAAGATTTGCCTGTTGCACTGGCTCCATGTCCACTGTGGGGCCCTTCAGACCAGCTGTGGTCAGCCTGTATGTCTTCTTCCTGTGATTGGCAGGTACAGCTGCCTCTTTGGGGACACACCCTGCACACAACAGGGACCAAGGCCACTGCTGGCAGCTGTGCAGTGTCCCTCCTGCTGTGTCCAATCAGCCAAGCCGGGCTTCCAGACTCACAGGCAGGAAATGGCTTCAGTGAGGGACCCATGGGTGCTGGCATCAGATGGAAGGAATCACCCCTTCCAGGGCTGGGGGAATAGCCAAGGTGGATGGTATGACCGACCTCAGTCTACAGCAGCATCCTGCTTCCTCCAGGTGCCCCTGGGAGGAGTGGTCCTCTCTCCAGTGATAGGAAAGAGGGAATTCTGGTCCTTTTCCAGCTTACCTAAACTCACTGGTGGAAGGGAATGGTCACATTGACCCTGCCCAAGACTGCCTCTGTGCAATGCTGGGATACCCAACATCTGCTGGGCACCTCTTCCCAGACCAGAACCAAGTGTTAGGACATCAGTGTCAGAACACTTGGGACAACAGGCATCCTGGAGGCTGGGTCAGAACCAAGCTGCAGTGGGCTCATCCTTTGGGACTCTGAGGGGACTTGAGTCCCATGGTCTGTTGGCTTGCATGGTTGTGGTGCCCCCCTGGCTGCATCCCTCCATCATCTACCTCATCTCTACATGGCCTTGTGGCCCTTCCTCCAACTGTAGGGACCCCAGATGTTGGATTTAGGGCTCACCCTAGTCCAAGATGATCTCAGGCCAACAAATTAACAGCCATGAACACATAATCCAAATCAACTCCCATCCTGGTTCTGGGTAGACATGAATTTTGGGGGGTTACTCTCAACCCATTCTCTTAACCCTGAGAAGCAGGCGTTGTTTTCACACTTCAAATGAGGAAACAGGCCTGAGAGGTTGGGATGACATCCAGGGGTGTCCAGCAGTGCTATCCCCCCACCCTGTACCATCTGCAGGGGGTCCCGTGTTCCCCAGCCTTAGGAACCCCCCCCCACAGGTCTCATGGGACTCGTGAAAACAAGATGACTGCTCCTCACCTGTGAGAGTGGGCACAGCGGGCAGGGCTGCTGTCACGGCCCATTCAGAAATGTGCCAAAGCCACAAGTGCCGCAGTGCTCGAGACAGAACAGGCAGTGGATGTTCAGCCTCAGAGCCAGGTGCAGAGGTCTAATCTGACCACTGTGCTGAGAGAGCAGTCCTTAGCTTCAGTGCTGGGGGATTCCTGTCACCGACTTACTACTGAGTTGGCTCTCCTGACTATCAAGATGTCCGGAGCACAGGCTCTGGCTTCCACGCTGTCCAGTGGTGGCCTGAGGGGGCACATGTAGCTCCCTCATGTGGCCTGTGCCGCATACCATGGTCTCCGATGCTATTTCATATGTGCTGTATCCTGGTTCTGCTCTGGTCTCTACCCTGGCTGCCATCCCCATCACCCCAAATCCTGATAGCTGAGTGGGCGTGCTCTCGCTCTGTCCTCAGCACCTGCCATTCCCACCTGGGACAAGACCCTCCTTCTGCCTCCTGCTGCCACTCCACAGCCTGCCCCAGCCTTTGTTCTCCACTGGATGCCTGTGTTCACCCCTCTCTCCTTGCAGTTTGAGGAACTTGTCTACCTCTGGATGGAACGACAGAAGTCAGGGGGTAACTACAGCCGCTACCGGGCACAGACGGAAAAGCATGTGGTCTTGTGTGTGAGCTCCCTCAAGATCGATCTCCTCATGGACTTCCTGAATGAGTTCTATGCCCACCCCCGGCTCCAGGTGAGGCTGTGGGCATCCTTGGGGTCCTCTGCTTTCTTTCTGGCTCCCAGAGCCATCAACCTCTCCCCAGGACTGTCACTTGCCTAGGTAAGGCCCCTGAGCACTCTAGACCCTGGTTACCCCCTTCTAGTAAGGGGTTTATGGCTGTCCCATAAGGCCCTGGGAATGAGAACAGGGCAGGGTGGGGGGAACAGGAGTCTGCCTGGAGGAACTGATGCACAACCTGGCCAGCAGGACTACTACGTGGTCATCCTGTGTCCCACCGAAATGGATGTCCAGGTGCGCAGGGTGCTGCAGATCCCTCTGTGGTCCCAGCGGGTCATCTACCTCCAGGGCTCTGCCCTCAAGGACCAGGACCTCATGCGGGCCAAGTGAGTTCCAGTCAGAGTGGTACAACCAGTCCTGAACTTGAGGCCTCTGGGGGTACCCAGGTAGAGATAGGGCCTTGACAGGTACAGCTGGGCACAGCGCCTGAGGGAGGCGGGGTCCCCAGGTGGAGGGGCGGCCAGGTGGGGGCACAGATGAGCACAAGTCTGAGGGAAGCAGAGATCCCTAGGTGGAGGTGGGGCTAGGGAGGCGTGCAGTCAGTCAGGCCCAGGTGGGTAGGACCCTGGGGTCAGACTCCATCCCTACAGGGTCACTGCGGCTGGGCAGCCTGGCAAACCCACCCAGCCAGGCCTCAGTCTCCTTCTGCCTCGGGACACCTTTCCCTCTCCTGCTCCGAGTCTGAGAATTTTCTGTCAAGTTTCAGGGAGCTCAAAATAGACCAGGGGCGGAGAAGCCGGCTGCTGCGAGTCGGTGGTGAAGTCACGAGGGCTGAGGGTGGCTCTTGCTCTAAAGACAAGTTGACAGAGTTACTTGAGGTGACAAGAACGTGCTGTTCCATGGAACTTTCCAGAATGTTGTAGTGCATCATCTGGAACTGTTCCTCCAAAATCCTTCATGCCACATTTTTAATGCAGGAGCCTCCTCTGCCCTTATCATGTAGTGTGGGCAGTGCAGGGCCAAGGGCAAGCCAGACAGTGCCCCAGGTCCCTCACCCCAAACCCTGAGCTGGGGACCCATAAGTGCAGCCTTTTTTGTGGGCCTGTCTAGTTCACATGGTATCACACCTGCCTGTGTCCAGTTTTGGGTTAGCCGGTAGGGGAGAGGAAGCACCAGCCAGGCCAGAAGTCCCCCACAGCCCTTGAGCTGGCAGTGGTACCAGGTGGAATGGGGCCTCGCCACTGTGGGAAAGCAGGTCGAGTTGTTTCTGTAGCCAGTCTCCTGGGAACCTGGAAGGAGCCGGAAATCACCCAAGTCCAGGCAGCTAGCTAAGTGGTCAGACAGAAGAGAGAACAAGGTCTAAGGCCCAGCCCAGGGTTGATGAGATGCCTCTGGAGACTAGACCACACCCCATGTCAGGTCAGCTGCCCCTGGGCTTAGGTCATCAGCACACGGTGAGGCACAATCTAAAGGGGACCCATGTTTTCTGACCATAAACCTCTGACAACTGCACACTGAGGCCAGAGTGTTGGATGGATGTGGCAGTGTGACTCAGAGCCCGTCAGGCCCTGTCAGACCACAGCCTATAAATGCTGAGCAGTCCCCACAGGCCAGCTGGTGTCTCCACAGCAGGCCTGGCGTGTGGTCCTCATTCAGCAGTTGAGCTTGGACTCAGCTGTGAGGGGGTCTTGGCATTGTGACCTGCCCAGACTGTGCCAGGAGGGGCCAGGTAGGCTTAGGAGGTCTGGGAGCACTGGGATTTGGTGCTGGGGCCAGGTCTGACTGCCTTAGCAGGACTCCCTGCCTGGCCCGTCCTCCCCTTACCCTCACACATCCTCGCCTCTACTGACTTCCTCCCGGGGAGACCCTCCTGGGTCCTCAGCCCACGCTCAGCAGCTGGTGCTCCGCAGGATGGACAACGGAGAGGCCTGCTTTATCCTCAGTAGCAGGAATGAGGTGGACCGCACAGCCGCAGTGAGTTCAGGGAGAGCCTCCCCGATCCCCACCCTCCTCAGCCCGCACTGCCCAGGCACTGGCAGCAGCAGGCCACGCAACGCCAACCGTACCTCCCCCCAGGATCACCAGACCATCCTGCGAGCCTGGGCCGTGAAAGACTTTGCCCCCAACTGCCCCCTCTACGTCCAGATCCTCAAGCCCGAGAACAAGTTCCACGTCAAGTTTGCTGGTGCGTCTAGGGCATCACGGATGTGGACTATGCAGACAGGTGGGAGGAGGGCGGACATCACCCATACAGGCTTCAGGAAATGCCTGAGACAGCACATATCCCTCCAGATCTCTTTATCAGAGAATAGGGGGCCTCCAGGAGACAGGTGATCTGGCCTGTTCTGGGGCCAAAGTAAGTGAGGGCAGGAGCCATAGGTGAGGTGGGGGAGGCAGGATCACTGCCTGACCAGTGCTTGTATGGTAGGGCCGTTGATGGGCACATGAGTGAGCAGGACCCAGGTTGGGCAGCTGGGGACAGGTGAGCAAGGCCCGAGTTGGACAGCTGAGTGGGGGGTGGGTAAGCAGGGTCCATGTCAGGCACCCAGGGGGTAGGTAAGGGCCCACCCATGTAGAGCTGGGGGAACTCAGAAACATAGGTGCTCCACTGGAGTTCAAAGTGTGACTTCAGAGGCTCACAGAGGTGCTGGACTGACGCTGAGCAGGAACTAGCTGTACAGTGGGGCTCCCAGGGGGTACCAGGCGGGGATGCCGGCACAGCCGCAGTGGGTGCTGTGGGGAGGGGCTGCAGGAGGCAGAGGTGGTGGGCCCTGACCCCACAGTCCCCACAGACCACGTGGTGTGCGAGGAGGAGTGCAAGTATGCCATGCTGGCCCTGAACTGCATCTGCCCGGCCACCTCCACCCTCATCACCCTGCTGGTGCACACGTCCCGTGGCCAGTGAGTGCCCCTCGCCAGACCGACCGCCACGCCCTGGCCATTCCGACAGACCCCACAAGGCAGGGCGGGCTCCCTGGAGGAGGAGGGCATGCAGCGGGCAGCGGTCTGGCATAGGAAGGGGCCCAGGGAGATGCAGGGTGCATTTGACCAGCTGGGTAGGAGGGGTAGTCCTGACCCAGGATGACAATCCCCTCAACTTGGTCCTCCATCAGGGAAGGACAGGAGTCTCCTGAGCAGTGGCAGCGCATGTACGGACGCTGCTCGGGCAACGAGGTGTACCACATCCGCATGGGTGACAGCAAGTTCTTCCGGGAGTATGAGGGCAAGAGCTTTACCTACGCAGCCTTCCATGCACACAAGAAGTACGCAGGGCCGGGGACTACGTACAGGGTGGGGCCCGCTGCCCCCACCACCACTGGACTAGCCATCCTCCCCACCCAGGTCTAGGTTAGCATAGGCAAGGCCCAGGGGCAGGAGGCTGCAGAGTCCCATCAAGGAACAGGGCATCCTGGCCCTGCCCACCTAGTGAGGACAGCCAGGTCAGGGCATCCCACGACCAGGCTTGCCACACACCCACTCCTTCCTGAAGCTTCTCATAAGGCCAGTCTGGGGTCCTTGAGTCCCCAACACCTGAGGGGAGGGAGCCGAGGAAAGTAGCCTGAGCCTTGGGAATGCCTGGAGTGGCCCTGGAGCTCCTGGCCACATCTGCTCAGGTATGGTGTGTGCCTCATCGGGCTGAAACGGGAGGAGAACAAGAGCATCCTGCTGAATCCGGGGCCACGGCACATCCTGGCTGCTTCTGACACCTGCTTTTACATCAACATCACCAAGGAGGAGAACTCAGCCTTCATCTTCAAGCAGGAGGAGAAGCAAAAGAGGCGGGGCCTCTCGGGGCAGGCGCTGTATGAGGGTCCATCCCGGCTGCCTGTGCACAGCATTATCGCCTCCATGGGTGAGCAGGTGCCACAGGGTAATGGATGGGTGACTCCCAAGGGTGTGCCCCTCGCCCAACCTACCACTAAGCAGGAAATCGCCCCAGTACTCAGCTCTTCCTTGTACAGTATGAGTCTCTCTACCCAATGGGAGTGCTCCCACCTTTGAGGGCCTTGGTGGGCATTGGTCATGTGTCCAGGCACCTGCTACCTATGCAGTCTGTGGGCTAGTGAACTACTGACCAGAGGCTCCTGGTAATTCTCTCAGCCCAGGGCATCTTTGAATAGGCCAAAGCCCTGGTGGCTACTGGGTGTGGACAGTCGGAAGTTAACAGCTTAGTTTCAGAGCTCTTCCCTGGGGCTGCTGTGGGCCCAAGGCTGGTTCCAGCCACTCCCTGAGCTGGGCCAGGACTTAGAAGGCAGGTCCTCTGGAAGACAGTGGAGAACAGGAACAGGTCTTCTTGACACAAGGTCTCCCTGTACCTCCAGCTGTCCTGGAACTTGCTCTGTAGACCAAGGCTGGCCTCAAACTCACAGCGATCCGCCTGCCTCTGCCTCCCAAGTGCTCGGATTAAAGGTGTGTGTCACCACGCCCGGCAGGAACAGGTCTTTTAGCCACTCAGGCTACAGACCTATGGGCTAGCCAGGGCACTGATACTTCATGTTGTGCTGGGCCCAAGCTGACCTACATAGCAAGCTGACATATTAAGTAAGCATCCACGGTATGCACAGGCTAAATTGACTCATGGTACAATCTCGGTGACTTGCGACATGGGCCACCAGCTGCCAAGGCCTGGGAGCTGCTGCTGTCCTTGCAGTGGTGGCCAGGCCTGCAGAGAAGTGTTGGGGATGTGGCTGCCACTCACCAGCCTGGCCTTCACCCATTACCTGCTGCCCACCCCCCACCCCCGGTGGCTTCTAGAGAGTCACAGTGACTGAGGAAGCCCTCCCACCCCAGCCCAGGCCAAGCCAGGCCAGGGAACAATTAGCAAGTGCAAAATAGCCTAACTGGTCCTCTATAACACCCCACCTAGCCCTGCCCTCAAAGTAGACTGATCAGCTTCCTGTGAGCCCCAAGGCTCCCCAGGAGGTTAGTATTGGGGTCACAGAAGTCAACCTGGATAGACCCCTGGATGGCCCACAAGGTCTGCTCAGCATCACCACCGTCAGGAGGCCATTAGCCTCTTTGTCCTGAAAGGGAAACTGAGGTCCAGAGAGGTGCTGAAATTCAAGGCTGTGCAACTGGAATATGAGTTGGCCATGAGCTGGGGCCTCCGAGGCTGCCTAGGTTCTCAACTCTGGCAGCCACTGGCCCCAGAGAGCAGGATGGGAGGGGCAGCTGGTCAAGTTCAACCCCTCTGTCCAGGGACAGTGGCCATGGACCTGCAGAACACAGAGTGCCGGCCCTCCCAGGGTGGCAGCGGCGGGGGCAGTGGGAAGCTGACTCTGCCCACAGAAAACGGCTCTGGCAGTCGGCGCCCCAGCATCGCACCTGTCCTGGAGCTGGCAGACAGCTCAGCTCTGCTGCCGTGTGACCTTCTGAGTGACCAATCAGAGGATGAGGTGACACCCTCAGACGACGAGGGGCTCTCCGTGATAGAGTGAGTGTTGATGTGGAGCCCAGCTTTCAGTGGGAGGGAAAGGTCCCCAATGCTAGGTACACTCGGGTACGCTCAGCCTTGTGGAAATCCCTGCAAGGCAGATGGGGTCTTCTGGTCCTCCGTGTAGGAACCAGAGCTGGGGTGTTTTGCCTCTGCCTTACCTGAAGCCTGGTTCCTAGGAGCCACTTAGAAGTGTCTACTAGGCTGGCCCCTCCCCTCAACCTAGGCTGGGGTCAGAGCTCGTGGGGCTCATAGAGTCTACATAGCGATACACATGAGCCAGGTGGGTGAGGGGCCCATCCGTGCCCCCCCTTAGCAGCCCCATACCAGCCCATCCTGAGCTCTCTGTTTTCAGTCACCCTATGAGTTGATCTGGAGTCAGGCAGGGACCCGTAGCCATCCCTGGGCCCACCTCACAGCTGGGTCAACTCCTCTTGGCGCTGTGGGGTATGGCTCACCTCATTAGGGGTAGGTGTCCTGGGGGTGACCTCAGAGCAGAGTCTGCAGAGGTCACCAGCAGGCGATTTGGCAAGACCAGAGGCCAACTTCGTGTCCATCCTGGCTGGGGTCTTCCTGTTTGAAACCAGGAAGGACACCAGTCCTCAACAACTTGGTCACCTTGGCCTCAGCCAGGGTATGCTGGCTGCTGTGAGCTGCTGTAAGGTTGAGGGACCACTGATGGCAGATCTGTAGACAAAAAATATGTGGGTCCTGAGGCTGTGTCCCTTAAAGCCGCTTTCCCTGGAAGCAGAGGTAGAGGGCTGTGCCTGGGCCAGTGACAGAGCATGACCTGGACACTGGGATGGGGATTGGGAGGGAGCCTGCTGGGAGACCAGCCTGGCCCAGCAGAAGCAGAGGGGAGAGCACAAGGCACCTGCCCATCACATCACCCAGGGCACTGTGAGCATCAGACAGGGGGCTCAGTGGTGACTGCAGCTCCTGGGTCCTCCCCAGCTTCCAGGCTGTGTGTATGTATGTCCGTCCGTGTACACTGTGTAGAGTTGTCTTCCCTCAGGGACGTGAGGGGTCCTACAAGATACAGGCCACCCCTGTTTTATGCCTAGGCGACTGAGGACTGATCCCTGCGGGTAAAGGGTTCCTGAGACTGCCTGGTAGCCAGTGACCCTCCCCCAATCCTGCTTAGGTCCTGTGTCGAGGGGCCACTCACTGTGGCCCCTCTGCACCCTTGAGTCTCTCCAGGGCCAAGTGCACTTCCTCCAGCCCTAATCTGTGGCAGCTGCTGATCTATCAGGTGGGGACAGATCCTTAAGAGCTCATAGGATGTGGCCATCCCAGGCAGGTGTAGGAAATTGAGAGCTGGGGAGAGGGAGTCATCTGCCAACAGTGGGTGAGCCTGTAATACTCTAGGCCAAGGGTAGCTCTGAGGTAGTGTGGTACCATGCTGGGGTCTCCCTGTCTCTATGCAGGTATGTGAAGGGCTACCCCCCAAACTCACCCTACATTGGCAGCTCCCCCACCTTGTGCCACCTTCTGCCTGTGAAGGCCCCCTTCTGTTGTCTGCGGCTGGACAAGGTAAGGCTGCATCTCACCAGAACTGCACCTGGACTTCGCCTTGGCCACCTGCCGCCCCACTTTGATGGTTTGATATTTTGGCCTAGCTGTAAACTCTTGGAGAAGCTATAGACCCCTCCTGCCTCTCCTGCCCGCCCGCCCTCAGCCTCCTTGCTCTGACCTCAACCAGCACTTGCTGGACAGGCTGAGAGCAGATTAGGACCATCTTGTCCCTCACCCCCAAAATATGTTGTATGTTTCCAGGCAGTGGGGACTATCACACAGCCCCAGTGGCATCAGGCAGGGCCAGGGTCTGGTATCAAGTAGAGCTAATGGTTCCAAAGGCCTTTGTCACCCTTTGAGGCAGCACCTTCTGTCACTCCCTTTGACCATCCTCCACCTTCCCTGGGGCCCCTTGACTGGGCCTTTGAAGAGATTGGCCTCTGGTTGGTGGGACATGATCTGTTCCATGATAGGGCCCAGCCCATATGTCAGGGCTGGGTCACCTAAAGCAGTGTGGGGCCTCGGCCACATCTGTGGTCATGCTGTCCCACTGTGAAAGTGACCGTTTCTCTCTGTGGCTCGGTTACTGTGAGACTCTCAGGACTGCTAACCTACCCCACTCTCAGAGTCAGCCTTCCTAATTCCGGAGCTTTCCGATGGCTTTCCTTAACACACTAATGGGAGGAAGGTGTCCCCTGGGCCCACATGGCTGAGGCCCATACCCTGTTGGGTTGTTACAGGATCATAGCCCTTTGATGCCTGCCAGCCTCTCACACTTCCTCACTATGTGTGTCCAGCTCAGTCCTGACAAAGGGTGCCTCCAACTGAGGCCTGACGCCACTTAAGGAAAGAGGCTTTAGGAAACAGGATCGGGCCACCCCGCCAGTGGCCCTGCTTCTGAGCTCTGTGCTAGGAAACGTGTGCATGTGAACACATCACATGTGCAAATGTGCACACATTTGTGCACATGCATCTTGGTTGTCTGTATTTCTACGCCTGTAGCCAAATGCTGTGCTGTGCTGGCTGCCGTCCACTAAGGTCTGTGGGCGCCGACCCCTACCAGCTGGTTGAGTCCTGATGGTGGGTGGCCCCGGGGCTCCCGTGTACACATGTTGCATGTCCCCACGTCCCCTCTACCAGCTCCTCCCATAGCCAGGGTGGTGGCCAGCCTGTGCGCCCCTTGTCCCCAGGGCTGCAAGCACAACAGTTATGAAGACGCCAAGGCCTATGGGTTCAAGAACAAACTGATCATCGTCTCTGCAGAGACCGCAGGCAATGGGCTCTACAATTTCATCGTGCCGCTGCGCGCCTACTACCGGTCCCGCAGGGAGCTCAACCCCATCGTGTTGCTGCTGGACAACAAGTGAGGCCCTGTGGGGTCCCCGTGGCACCTGGTTTCGCCAGGAACCGCCAGCTGGCAGAGGGTGCACGTCTTCTGCAGCCATTGCGTCTCTTGCCTTGGGGCCTTTAGCAGCTCCTCCTCATCCTCCCGTCCATGACAGAGAGTCCCAGCGGGCAGAGCTGCAGGGGTTCTCACCCCACAGCCCCTTTCACCCACTTGGGCAGCTGAAGTTCAAGGTTTAGTCTTGGCTGTCTGACCTCAGCAAGTCCAGCACCATTTCCCTTGGGTTGAATAAATAACAGCTCCCAGCTCCCAGGGCGGGAGAGTTGCTCAGTGGTTAAGAGCACTGGCTGCTCTTGCAGAGGGTTCAATTCCCAACACCCACATGGCAGCTATCTATGACCCAGAACTCCATTTCCAGGGGATCCAAGGTTCTCTTCTGACCTCTATAGGCATTACATGACATGAGTGAGCTTACACACGTGCAGGCAATACACTTATACACATTAAAAAAAAAAAAAAAAAACAGGTCCCATGGTTTGGGGGTCCCCAAGAGTGCGCGGAGGATGGGCCAGGGAGCAGGTGGAACCTCTAGACCTTGCTGTCCCTACAGACCTGACCACCACTTCCTAGAGGCCATCTGCTGCTTCCCCATGGTCTACTACATGGAGGGCTCTGTGGACAAGTAAGATACGAGTGGCCACATGGCCAGGATGCTTCCTGTCCCTCAGCCCTCCTCTCCCAGAGCTTCCCAAATGAGCAGGCAGCCCCAACCGGGGGAAAGGGGAGGGGTTTAGAGGGGCGGAGGGGTGGGGGTGTGATCCTGCGGCCGCACGCCTCACCCGGCACAGCCTGGACAGCCTGCTGCAGTGCGGTATCATCTATGCCGACAACCTGGTGGTGGTGGACAAGGAAAGCACGATGAGCGCGGAGGAGGACTACATGGCCGACGCCAAGACCATTGTCAACGTGCAGACCATGTTCCGGTGAGCGCACGGCCCGTAGGAGCCACGCCCCGTGCTGAGGGCCCCACAGAGACGGCCGTGAGGCTGCTGTGAAAACTCAGCACGAGACCCTCGAGAGTCCAGAGCCCTGACAGTGGGACCCACCAGACCACACAGCTCTGACCGTGGGGCACACGGCCCTGATGACAGGATCCACCACAGACCTCCTGTCCCTGACCACAGGCCCCTCCAGAGTCCACAGCCCTGACCACAAGATGCAGTAGAGACACCCTCCCCATAGCTATAACCTTGGGACCTGTAAGAGACCACACAAGTGTGACCACAGGGCCCATCAAAGATCCCACAGCCCTGACCACAGCCGCAGAACCCACTGGAGTCCCCACAACCATGACCACAGCCCTGGGATCTACTCTGAGACCTGCAGCCCCGACCCCAGGACGCCTCCCACATTGTCCCTCCCCCAGGCTTTTCCCCAGCCTCAGCATCACGACGGAGCTCACACACCCTTCCAACATGCGGTTCATGCAGTTTCGTGCCAAGGATAGCTACTCTCTGGCTCTTTCTAAATTGGAAAAGGTAAGTGTTCCCTGCTGATGGGCCATCCCTCGCCCAGGACCCGAGGGAGAGCAAGAGAAAGGGGCAGAAGCAGGGCCAAGGGAGCGTGGGCTCCTGTCCTGCTGGAGCTTTAGGAGATGGGCTCAGGTGACAGAAGACTCCTGCTGTCCAGCCTGTCCAGGTCCCACCCTGCCCTGCCTGCTTGGGCCCACTCGGGAGGCCTAAGGCTTGCCTAGCAGCCCCAGGCTGCTGGGATTGTGTAAATGGGCACAGGTCTCAGGAAAAGGGCCTCAGCTTCAGGAAGACAGTGTTAACTGAATGTAGTCCAGGCTAGTGCCCAGGTGTGGAGTCAAAGTGGAGCTTATGTCCCACACACAGTTCTGAGGCCAGCCCTGCCCCTCATGGGCCTTCAAGGCGGACTAGAAGTGGGTGAAACTGGCACTTACGGCCAGTGAGCAGCTAGCAAGCTCCGTGGTACCCTCTGTAGATGTCAGCAGTGGATGTAACATCCCACTCTTGATGGGACTGCCTCATCCTCTTTGAGAGGCCTGGCCTTACTGACCATGGTCCATCTCAGGGCAGTGAGTAGCTCTGGGTCCATCATGTGACAATAGGTGTGTGATAAGGACATTGCTGTGTGACCTCAGGGCTGGTGAGGGGTTGGGATCCACACTGAACCATGTCCTGGGCTCTGGGCAGCAGGCCAAGGAGGGGGCGAAGGGGAGCAGGCTGCTGCCACCACGGTTCTCTGAAGATGGTAAAATCTGCAGTCCATGAGTGCCAGGTCTGCGCTTGGAGAGGTTTGGTCTTGGGTCGCTGACACTTCAGACACTTCAGACAGGCTACATGGGTAGTATGAGATGCTTTTAAAATACTTTTAAAATTACATTTATTTCATGTGTGTGCATGTGTGTACCTATGCACATGTCATGGTGCACATGTGGGTGTCAGAGGACAACTTGCTAGATTCAGCTCTCTCCTTTCACAATGTGGGTCCCAGGGATCAAGCTCAGGTCATCAGGCTTGGTGGCAAGTGCCTTTACCCACTGAACCATCTAACTAGCCTTGTATGAGACCCTTTTTTTAAAAAGAAAGGAATGAAAACAGTAGACGTGTACATTTATTATAATGTATATTCTACAAAGTAATATTGAAGAAAAAAAACAAGAAGTGTCCCAGAATCCCCGTGGACAGCACCTTTTGCACCTGGGCCCAGGGGAGACATAAGTAGGATTCCCTGGAGGGAGGAGTGGACCTTGTCCCTAATCCCACCTTCTGATCCGGGCCTGGGCTGGCAGCCTGTGGTGACAGCTTCGTCCTCCATGATTGTCTCATCCAAACTCTCACGGACTGGCTTGGTGTCCTAGGATGCCGTCCCTACCCTGCTGCCCCTGGCCGGTTGTTCTCAGGCCCCAACTCCCACGTTCCACTCTTGGTAAACGCATCGTCACTCCGCTAAGTCCCTCCGGGACTGAGCTTTGCATGGTTCAGTGCAGAAGAAAACGCACACTCTTTGTCTAAAATACGGGGGAAAGTTCTGGAAAGAAAGCTACACTCTGCTTCCTCTCCTCCCATAGTCTTTTGGGACCTGTCTAGTGTTCTGAGGAAAGTCGGTGGAGCTCTTGAGTTACGCAATTCAGTCCACTGTTCACCTTCATGAGGCGCAGTGCAGGGTCGACCACTACAGGAGAACCCTGACTGGTGATGCGGAATCACCCCGGCTCAACCACATCTTGTCAGACATACTTGATTCTTCACAGACCAGCCGTGCCCACACATCCCGGCACCACCATTTTGCCTGATGACTCAGCGCCTCCCGTGACACTCGTCCCTGTCTGTCACTGGTGCGCAACGAAGAACAAACGAAAGTCACTTTCAGGGCCTTGTCCTGCCTGTCTGCTTCCTTTTGCCACCAGCAGGAAGCAGCCGTAGAGGGTGACAGACTGCTAAGAGAGCAGGCGAGGCTGCCTGTGGCCTCTGGGGGCTGTCTTTCCTCAAAGCAAGTTCCTGCAGCTACAGGACATGTCCTCTGACACCAGTGTCCTCTCACACGGCCATGGATGTCTGCGTTCACTTGAATCCCCTTGTGGGTGCCCACCTGGAAGAGCGGCCTGGAAATTTTGCTTGCCTTCATCCCCAAGCGTGTGACTGAATCCCCTTCCATCTCAGGACTCTGCACAGGGACCACACGAAGGAACTTGAGATGAGAGGTGGTCCTCAACATCGACATCCACCACACAGAATCAGAAGGTGTGGTGATGGGCAGAAAGTCAGAGATGTGAAGAGACTGTGCTCCTGGCTTTGAAGACGGAGGAAGATACAGTCGGCCAAGGACTCAAGGCGTCCCCAGGAACTGGGGCAAAGGGTCTTGCAGAGCCTCCAGAGGGAGCAAGGCCCAGCTGGCCCTGGACTTCAGGCCTGGAAACACTCCAGACCTCCAGCTTCAGAACCTACTAAGTCTGCAGCAGCTTGTTCCAAGAAATACATCCCGTAGGTCAGCAGACTCACTGCCCTGAGCCTCATGAGCATGTGCAAAGAGGGCAGCGAGCAGTGACAGTGCAGAACAGCCCCCTGGCCACACCCAGACATCACAAAGTACGGTTCAAGATGAAATTGCTAAGATTATGGAGAATCTCAGGCTAGGGGTACAGTTAGTGTAGAACACTTGCCCCACAGGTGTGAGGTCTAGCTCCTTGAAAAAGAATATGACTCTTAGAATTGACGGTGGCAGAATGTGTGCCAGATGCAAGGCCTGTGCCTTGCAGGCCCCAGGCCTCACTTCCTTTTCAGAGCCCCAAACTGTCCCCAGGCTCTGGCCCTAAGTTTGTCTGCGGAGATGCAGCTGGGTATTCAGGCCTGATGGCCAGGCGTCTGTTGGTATATGGTCAAATATGCGTCTGTTCACATGCATGATGTACACATGTACATGCATACAGTGCACACACATGCATACAGTACATCCACATGCATATCTGTACACACATGCTCATGCATACATCACACACACACATGGGTACACATCACATACGCATACACATTCATACATCCCAGGCACACAGCACACACAAATATATACGCTATACCTTCAGGCACATATGTACATGTATACACATAGGCGTACACCCCGTGCATACACTGCATGGACACATGCTCATACACTAAATGCATGCATACAGCCTTTATTCCAGTAGCCGTCCACACCTCTGTGGGCCATCTAAGGACCCCTTTCTTACAGCGGGAGCGAGAGAATGGTTCCAACCTGGCCTTCATGTTCCGTCTGCCGTTTGCCGCCGGCCGCGTGTTCAGCATCAGCATGTTGGACACACTGCTCTACCAGGTCAGCTGGAAGGTGGAGGGAAGCGGCAGGGCCATGAAGCCTGGGCCAGAGTCCCCAGTCCTTTTCTGGCCGATGTCTGGTCCTGTTGCTCTCCGAACAGCCCTCCCCAGAACCCCTGAGCCCTGTCTGTGGGAACAGCAGACCTCGCTGCTCCCTTCGGGGTCTTTCCTCCCAGGGTGGCCCTGTGTCCACCCTGGCGGCTTGAGGTTCTGGTTCCTTTCGGACCTAACGCACAGAGTGCACGCACGCTGTGGCTGCAGTACCTGCCTCACGTAGCTCTGCTGCCCCACAGTCCTTCGTGAAGGACTACATGATCACCATCACCAGGCTGCTGCTGGGCCTTGACACCACACCGGGCTCCGGCTACCTCTGTGCTGTAAGTGCAGACCAGGTGTTCGGTGCTGTGTGGCACAGGCCTGGCACACTTCCTGGGTCATTGCAGCCCTCGGGCGCTCAGCACTGCCCATGGCCGGCCCTCCCCAGCTTAGTGCTCCACACTTACTACAGATGAAGATCACCGACGATGACCTTTGGATCCGCACCTATGGCCGCCTCTTCCAGAAGCTCTGCTCCTCCAGCGCAGAGATTCCCATCGGCATCTATAGGACCGAGTGTCATGTCTTCTCCTCTGAGGTTAGGGTGCCTGGGAGTGGAGTTAAGTAGCCCCCGATCCTGTGTAATTCCCACCCTCCCAGTCCAGCTCTGGGTGTGACAGCATTTCCCAGGGGCTTCTTCTAGCAGGTGCTTGTGCTCCACACATGTACCTCCAGCGAGGGTAGCTGCCGCTCCGGGGAGAATGGTGACCTTGGGAAGTGTCCATGAGCTGTCAGAGGACTGGGCGGAGGGAGGCCGGTGCCACCAGCCCACTTGCATGTTCTTACGTGCCCTCTGCATGTTCTCTGTGGACTCAGAGACTAAGGCTGCAGCTGGGGGGAGGCGGACACAGCCATAGATCCCAGATGGCCTCTGGTTTTTTTGCAGCCCCACGACCTCAGAGCCCAGGTGAGCACCCCCAGAGACCCATGAAGTTTGCTTCACTTCACAGTACCTTTACTTCATGGAGTCCTCCTGCCCCCAAGCAGGCAGGAACCAAGGATGTGTCAGGCACCAGGCAGCTCGATGGGGGGGGATGCTGAGGAGCTACCATACCATGCTCCTGTACAGCAGGGAAACTGGGGTGGGAGAGTCACCCATAGGCTCACACAACATGTGCACTCCCCAGCTAGGCCTAGCTCCATGTGCCACAATCATGTCACACTGCAGTCCTCTGTGGTGGCGGGGACCCCTATGGTCTGGCCTGACCCCCTTATCCCACCTCAGTCTCTCCAAGGTACTGCCTGACTGCCTGGTAAGGTCCCATTTTCTCTAGCACCTCACGTGCCTATTCAGGCATACATAGCCTGCCACACTCCCTCTCTGTTCCCATTAACCCCCCCTCCACACACACACAAGGGTGTAACAGACAGGGACTCTTGCCCCATCTGTAGATGGGGAAGCAAATAGAGACAGAGTCCTCATTCTGAGGCAAAGCCAAGATGTACTGAGGCCAGAGGGACCAGCCAGACCCACCAGAAGTAATGACCTGGAGAGGTTAAGGAGCCATCCTCAGCCTGGGAGGGAAACAGGGATGGGCTGGCCCCACACTGGACCAGACCTTGGGCAGGGCCAGGAGTTGCCAAGCACATTGGGGTACAGGAGAAAACACAGTGTGGGCCTAGGGCCCATCCCCCTGCCTTCCCAAGCCACAAGGGGCCCCAGCCCACAGCCCTCCTGCCTGCGCAGTCCCAGATCTCAGTGAACATGGAAGACTGCGAGGATACTCGGGAGGCCAAGGGGCCCTGGGGCACACGGGCCAGCTCTGGCAGCACCCACGGCCGCCACGGAGGCAGCGCCGACCCGGCTGAGCACCCGCTGCTGCGGCGCAAGAGCCTGCAGTGGGCCCGCAAGCTGAGCCGCAGAGGCAGCAAGCAGGCGGGGAAGGCACCGGTTGCCACCGAGTGGATCACCCAGCAGAGGCTCAGCCTGTACCGACGCTCAGAGCGCCAGGAGCTCTCTGAGCTAGTCAAGAACCGTATGAAGCACCTGGGGCTGCCCACCACTGGCTATGGTAAGGGCAGGTGGCAAGGCTGCGTACACTGGGCCGCAGTGGAGCTGCTCATGGCTCTCAGATCACCTTCTGGCCACTCTGCCTGTCCCCTACAGCACAGTTGGCTCGAGCCCCACAATGGTGACCTGGGCACTGCTCAATAGAGGGCAGAGGGGTTCCACCTAGTATGGGAAAGGCTCAGGGTGCCCCACAGACTGGCTCACCTCCACCACCCTGCGGCCTCAGTTTCCCCACCATAAACTACAGGATTGGACCTGGAGAAAGAATAGAGTGGGGGGTCTGGGTCAGCTCCGCAAAAGTTGATGGCTTTCGCTAGCGGTACAGGTCAGGTCCTCCCATCTCACAGGAGACATGGAAGACAGACCATAGGAGCCCTGCCCTGGCAGGGTGGGCAGACATATCATTGGGGATAGGGATGACCCACACCAGAACATTTCTCTGCCCATCCCACTGCCCTTACAAGGGTATAGTCAGCCCTAAGTGAACATCTGTTTGGGCAGATTGCTGCAGCCCCTCGAGTGACCTGTATGACTTTCACCACAAGTGCCCTAGCTGGCTAACAAATTTATCTCCAGAGGTGCTGCCTCTGCTGATGAAGCCAAATAAGGCCCAAGGTCTCAACTCTGGCCTGTGCCTCTCCCTTGGCATCTCAAGATTCAGCCATTGCTCAGGCCCAACCTGCATCCTGTTCGTCATTATCTGAGCTGGGACCCTAGGGCCCCCTTCAGGTGGAAGGAGCTTCCCAGGAGTCACTGAGGCTTGGCCATGTGCTGGTTGTGCATACCGGACATGCTGTGTAGACTCACAGGGCAGTGCCGGACTGCACTGGAGAGGGGGGTAAGCCTGGGGAGTACTGAGGCCAGGGTTTGGGGAACAGTGTGAACCCCTATAACCTTTAGCAGCCCCAGCCCTATGGACAGTGTGGAGGGCGTCCCCACCATGCTCCAGATCCAGTAGCCCCTCAGCATCCCTGGGTACCCTGCCGTCGTCCTGTTCCAGGGGACTGACCATCAAGACTTGGGATTCCTGCATTCACAAGCCATAGAGAGTCCTGGCAGATACAAAGTACAGTGTGGTTGGCCAAACCCAGAGCTGGCACCTGCTCTATATGCTCCTTAGCCTGTGCCACCCCCAACCACCTGCCAGAGCTTGGCAGAGAAGGGCCAGCTCCCCTTCAGCAGTTGACTTGCTTCTGAGTGGTCAGTGTTGGCCACTACTGTCCCAGTGTGGACGGCATCTGTGTGCAGCTGGCCGCTGCCCTGCACCCACTCTGCTGTACCAGTGCCTGCCTCCCTTGCTGCTTGCTGACCTGTCTCTCTCTCTCTTGTTTCTGTCTGTGCCTCTCCTGTGTGTTCCGTAGAGGACGTAGCAAATTTAACAGCCAGTGATGTCATGAATCGGGTAAACCTGGGATATTTGCAAGGTAATTGTGCTCCAGTGGACTCCAGCCACCACAGGGGGCATGCCAAATCTTTGCCACCTTGACTGGGCCAGGCAGTGACCAGGAGAGTTGAGAGGGGTCTAGACCCTTCTCTGACAGTAGGGCTTCATTCACCTATAAACAGGTCCTCTGGTGGGCCTGTTACCCCTCCTCTCTGGTTCATCCTAAGGGTCATAGGGCCCCACCCCTGCCTCCAGGGCCAGCCCTAAGTACATCACCCAATTCTGTTAGGATCAGGCCACCCCAGCATACCTGGCCTCTCTGGCCTTCTCCGCTGGATGCCTAAGGTCCATGAGTGCTTTAATGGGCCAGGCTTTGCCAGGAGTGAGGATGTGGTGGTGGGAGTTGGCACACCCTGTGTCACAGGAGCAGGCAGGCTTGGGCTGCCCAAACCAGATGGACTTGGGGCTTCAAGAAAGGGATCATTCCATTCAGTTAAGACAGAGCTGAGCCAAACCTCATTTCCCGCCTGTGCTCAAGTGCTGTGGAGTCACCTCATCTCCTTCTAGGAGCTGCCTTGCATCCTCCATACCGCAGAGGCTTTAGTCAGAGCTCGGAGCAGAAGCCAGGCCATGGCCCTTGGTGCTTCCTCTCCATACAAGTTTTAGGGGGTGTCTGGGCCCAGGTACATGTCGGTTTAGCTGGGCCGTTTGCAAAGTGGGCAGCCACAGAAGTGAAGGGTCACCTCCTAGGCTCATGGTTTCCCTCATCCTGTATCCCGTGATGGTAGTCATGGAAGCTGGGCCCTCTGCCAGGCACTTAGAGAGCTGAGCTGGGGCTGGTGGCTTGCATGAACTGGGCACACCCTACACCCAGCTACATGTGGTTCCTAGGCAGGCGCAGGCATGGGCAGCTCCAGGCTCTCCCACAGGGTCCCAAGACACTCCTGAGTGTTCACTGAGTACCACCCTTATGGTTGGGGCAAACGTGCTGGGAGTCAGGGCTCAGAATCCCATGCCAGGATGTCATGTACATCCTTCTCAGGGAACGGGTGACCTCCCCCAGGATGGGCGGCATGCCCAGGGTCTTGGTGTACAGAGGAGGCAGGAGATGGAGCCCTGAAGTTACTTCAGTTCTTAAACCAGTAAGCTGAGGCTCAGGGTGGGGAACTCTGGCTAGTTGGGGAAATGGGTATGGATGCCCAGGGCCTGGGTCTGGGGACCGGGGGAGTCCCAGGCTAAGGGAGATGGTGGTGGGAAATAGCCATCGATGAGGCCTGACCTGTTGGTGAGGGGTCTCCATTCTTGAAAAGTTTTCAAGCCAGGCCCTGCCCAACCCATCCAACCCGTGTTGGCTGTCCACCTTCACCAAGCATGTGGCCACTGAGGCTGCCTCAGAATAGTTGGGCTTGTTCTGCCTGGCTGGGCAGTTGGAGTCAGTACCACAGGACCAACCATGACCCCACCCTGACACTATAGCAGGGATCTGGCTCGCTCCCCTCAGCGTAGCACCCCCAAAGCACAAAGCCAGGTTTTGCTAGTCTCAGACATGTCCCGGTCTGCCCCTGGCTGGGGAAGAACAAGCAGCCCAGGCCTAGGAGGGAGGACTCAGCAGCTCCCTCTCAAAGCCAGGCTTTGGGGCACGTAGCATGGCTGGCCCCACCCAGAGTGCTAGGTATACAGTGCCCTGCTGGTGGCTATGGTCTGTGGTGGTGTGAGCATGTCTGCACCATTGCTCCTGCACAAACCCTGCTGGTCTTGCACTGAGGCAGTTGGTCTTAGAAGATCATACTTCCCACTTGGCCTCCAGCGTGAGCCACACCATGGAAGACAATGACTGTGGGACTTGGGAAAAGAGCAGAAACTGGTATCCTGTATGTGGAGGGCAGGCCACCAGGCCTTCCCATCCTGCAGAAGTGGACAAGGGCATTGGTGGCACCTGAACTATCCCGGGTACAGCTGTCCCAGGTATAGGGACCCACTGGCCCCAAGGCCTAGCCTGTGCTACCATTTCCTAGAAGCATGTTGCATCCACACTCCATGCTTGGGGCTAGAAGAGCTCATCCCAGTGCCTGCTCCACTGTGATGCCAGCTCTGAGAGGAGGCATGCTCCTCCCTAGTGTGACTGGCTAACTGGCAGCTTCACCAACTCCACAGAGGGTTCCACCTCTCTCTGACCATGGCCATCATGATCAAGGGACATAGAGACAGAAGAGGCCCTGTCTCAGGTCCCTGTCACTGTCCTTGGAGTCCAGAGGTACTGTTAGCTATCAGATGGGTAAACTGAGGCCAGCAAGCTCAGGGCCACTGCCAGCACTGTATGTGGTCCTAGTTCCCTGCTGGTCAAGCAGACACCTGTGTGATAACTGTCTGCCCCTCTAGAGACACCCACACCCCTATGGGGTACATTCCAGGGCCACCCTGGGCCCTCTCCCAAGGATGGGCAGCAGCACAGCCAGCCATGAACAGGAGGGAAGGACCTTGCTCCCCAATTAATGAGTCCAAATAATAGCAAGTGGGGTGACTTATCCAGTCCCTAGGAATGGTGGTACCTGCAGGTCACATCAGGGTAGGGGGAAATCCTGAGTGGTTTCTAGAGACCTGGGGTCAGGTGTGTGGCATATAGGTATGTAGGTATGAGCAGGTGTGCTGTGCAAGCATGTGTGTAATGTACAGGTGTAATGTGACAGTGCACATGGGCATTATAGATTATGTGGGTGTGCAAGTGAGCATGCAGGAGTGTTCATGCATGCACACAGGTATATGTGTGCGTATGTAGGCATATGCATAGGTGTATACAGATGTGTGTGTACAGGTAAAGGTATTAAGGAGCGTGCACAAGTGTACATGCATGTGAGCATGCAGGCATGTATACCTGCCCACCCAGGTTTATGTAGGAAGCAGGCCTGTACAGGTGTGCTCAGAGCCTCTAGGGCCCTACACTTGTGAGATGTCACCTGATGTTGGCTGCTCAGCTGAACAAGCTGCCGGGTGAGTTGGAGCCAGTGTGCCACTGTCCTTCCTGGCTGAACACTTTCCAGTTCAGGCAGGAGCTGAGGACAGGTGTCAGGGAAAACCAATCAGTATGATGGCTGAAAAGCTTGGGGCATTTGCTCCTCTACATCTTCAGGGCCCCCGCAGAGCTGTACTGGGTAAAGTTGCGGTAACAGGTGGGCTGTGTCCTTTGTAGATGAGATGAATGATCATCATCAGAACACCCTCTCCTATGTCCTCATCAACCCCCCACCTGACACAAGGCTGGAGCCCAACGACATTGTGTGAGTACACACCTGCCCTTCCTGGCATCAGGCCTGGGCCGCAGGCCCCACAGCACAGGTCTGGTGTGGCTACCTCACTTATTCCAGGGCCCTGCTTGGTATCCTCTGCAGGTACCTCATCCGCTCCGACCCCCTGGCCCACGTGGCTAGCAACTCCCAGAGCCGGAAGAGCAGCTGCAACAAGCTTTCCTCCTGTAACCCTGAGACCCGGGATGAGACACAGCTCTGAGCAGCTGAAGCCTGTGCCAGGACAGGCAGACTGGTGGGCACACTGGGTACATTGTCATGCTGGCCTGGCCAGGGCAAGTTATATTCCACATGGTGGCTCCAAGACAGCCCCAGAAAAGAACCCCTCACTGTGGGGCCAGTCAGGAGACCACTCTATCACCCTGGAAGCTGGCAGGAAGCATTTTTAAACTTATTTTTACAAATCTGTATGATCCATGACTCTTTACACATGTACCGCAACTCGTGACTGGGGTCTGGCCAAAGTGGGATGTGAGGGGACAAAGCAGGGACTGGACACTACTCTGGGTTCCACCGTCCCCTAGACATGCTAAGGGGAGAGAGAAGGACCTGGAACTGGGGAATCCCACACACAACCCCCTGCATGGAATGTAGCTGTGTTCTCTGGCCACCCAACCTGCTGTTTTAATCACAGATTCTGCATGGCACTGGAGCCACACCAGGGCCTATGGGTATGCCCCCACCCCCGCAACCTGGCAAGGGGCCAGCAGAAGTGTTGTACCCTTCAAGAGGAGGTGAAAACCAGAAGAGAGCCTTGGCACTTGGGCTGGGGCTGTGCAGCCCCTGCATGTGGGGTCCTGGAGGAGCCTTGCACCCTTGGCTATGGAGGTCAGATGCTGTTTCCAGTTATTACACTGAGCTGCTCCAGCCATGGTGTTTGGCGACACAGCCTGGCAGGCGATAAGTCTCCATGGACCATTTCACACACTCAAAGCAAAGCCTTGTCTCTAAACACCTGATCTGAGAAGCACAATTAGCTCTGGGCTCTGCCCATGCCTCTGGTCTCCAGAAGTAGCTCTTGGCAGCTGGCCTTGTTCCCATTTGTGGTTTATATGGTCAGCACTAGAATCTATTAAATGGATGTATTCTATAGGCATGTGTGGTACATGGCAGCCCACTTTAGTTCCAGGACACTGGGTCTGCAAGACACCTGTTTAAGGGTTAGAACTGCCTCATGTGGTTCTCCACCCTCAACCTGACCTGGTCTGCATGGCCCTCCAAAAATGCCATAATCAAATCCCCTGTGGCTGTAGGTAGTTGAGTCTGGGCAGCTGGGGAGGACTCCCTGGAGAGCACGCCCCTGAGGTAGGTACGGCTCACCTGAGACCTACAGCTCCTGGAGATCCTACACCTATCGGGGAGGAAGATGCCCCGGTGGGACTATGTGCACCTTATCCATGTGCTTTTGAGCACCCTGAGAGGCTGAGGTAAAGGAAAGGGCCAAAAAACCCCAGGTTTTCCTAATCAGAGCAGATAGAACCCCAAGTGGGCAGATAATACAGGGTTAAGGTAGTTGCTGTACCTGCCTGGTGACATTCCCTGCCTGCATTCCAACTTGCCCCTACCCCAACTCCTTGTCTGATTGGCACTCACCTGCTTAGAAAGAATGGGGGACCTAGTGAGGTGGCATGGGGGACTGGACTGTGACTACTTGGAGCCGGACCTGGGACCTATGGGAGTGGCAGGTAGTTGACATTGGGCTGGGGTGACCTGGGCTTGTTTCGGCTGGACTAGGGTCTGTCAGTGGCCATCACTGCAACAGGAGGGGTCTGAGCCTGCCTTGCTCATGCCCTTGGCCTAGACCCATACGCATTTTTCTGCTGGGCTATCTGCCTGGCTGTTGAGCCCAGGACACAACAGCTGCTCTGGGCTCCATTGGGATGGGGCTGAAGCCCTCAAGCCATGCTGGGAAGAGCTGCCACCCCTTTGAGGCACCTTGGGGAAAGCCACCTGACTCATATTTGGGTCAGGGTCTGTGTTCTCTTGTGCAGCTGCGGCACTGAGACATTTTTGGTCTCTGAGGGGGGTCCCTCCTCCCACAGGTGGGAGCAGCTACATCCCACCCAGTCTTCTGCCAGCTGCTAAGGATGCCAGGCCCTGTGCATAACTGGCACTGGGGACCAGGAGGGACTGTGCACTGAGATGTCGGTCACCAGCTCAATAAAAGCCACTTGCACACCTACAACTTTCCACAGCCTCTGTGTCCTTTATCACCAAGCTTGGGAGACACCCAGACCTCCCTGGTCATCCCGGGTCTGCTCACCCACATCCTGGCTTCTGCAGCATCTCGGCCTCCAGCTGTGCTTGGACACCATCAGCTCTCCCTGCCCTCTACCCTGCTGGCCTCAAGGGCTGTCATGAGACACTTGCTCTAAGTGGAGAGGGCCCTGGACTGACCATCAGGAGCTAGAAAAATTTAAACACAGCAAGAGAATTTTCAAAGCATACAAAACTAGGAACTTTTAATTTTTCTTGTTTCTAACCTAACAGAAAACTGCCCCAAACAATAACACCATCAGTGCCCTGGGTGTTGTAGCTTGTGGGTAAGTGACACAATGACAGCAGTGTGGGAGTGCTCAGCTGAGGTACCTGCCAGCTGCAACTCCTGTGCAGGGGACTTGGCTGAGGCCTGAGTGTTTCCTGCAGGTCTCAGGTAGCCCCAATAACTTGCATTAAGAGAAGTGCAGTGCAAGCACAGAGGAGGGTGACTCCAGACACGCATATGACCTGCACTGACTGCAGGTGGTTCTACTGGTTGGTGACAGACAGTCCCACAGGACAAAGCAAGGCTCAGAGCCATGAAGGAAACAGGACGTGACCCCCAGCCCTTCCCACCCAACTCCATAGGCTTCCCAGTGGGATGTCTGGAGGGTTTCAAGACATTTCTTGAAGATGTGTGACTTTAGTCCATCTCTACAGGAACACTCAGGCACATCCATTCAAATACCTACCGGCTGATCTTAAACGGGACCCACTGAGTCACATCTTGCTGACCTAAAAGGAGTCTCTCTTCATTTTAAGGTTCTAACTTGTCATGATTCTCATCCATCTTCAGTCTCTAAATAATTGGGCCAGTGGGGAGAGGTGGCCCTGGGGTCAGTGTCCTGGAAGGATCTGTGGCAGTTCTAGATGGGGACCCCACAGTAGTACAAGCTGGGCTCACACCGAAGTCCAGAGCCTCAGCCCCTAGCTGTAAGTTCCACCTCACTACACAGGACCCAGGGCCCAGGGGTGGGGTTGGGGCTTCAATTAGCACTCCTGAGGCAGGAACAGCAGCAGTTTAGACTTCGAACAGATGCCTTTGGGTGCTGGCTATACCCACCCTCGTCCTTGTGACATTAGCAGGAGCTTTGGGGGCCCTTTGCTTCAGCATTCGTCTGCTCTGTCATACCTTAGAGGAAGGGGCGTCCAGTCCAGGCTGGGCTTCTGTCTGTCTGTCCCAGGCCCTGCAGGGTAGCTTCCCAGTGAAGCTCCATCTTACACAGGAATCTGCAGTGCTCCAGCCTTGAGTTGAGAGTGACATTAGCCTGTCCAACAGCCTCAGCCCTGGCCCAGAGCCCTAGGGTGAGTCACTGTCCATGCCTATGAGGCCTGCATGGGCAACTGTGCACCTCCCCTCCCCCTAAGGGTGCTAGGAGGGGCAGTTTTCACAGTGAGCGCCAACCCTGACCTTTGCGGCCAGGCATGTCTTGGCACCTCCTTGGCCTACTCCTTCCCCAAGTGAAAGCATCCAGCTCTGCACACCTTACAGGCATCAACAGAGATGTCCTAAACAGCAGTAGGGCTCCTCTACACCCCATCCCTGACCTCAGCCTGAAGCTTGTGTTCACTAGGTGGGATGCCAAACAGGGCCATGTCCTGTGTCCTTTGCATGGCCTGAGGTACACCTCCCTCACAGACCTGGGATCCTCTCAAAGATTCTAGGGCAGAAGGGTGCCTCATTCATCAGGGGAACTGAGGCACCTGCCCACTGTTGAGGGCTCAGACCATCAAGGTCCATGCACAGAACCTCCATCTTCCCACTGGGATAGACTGCTGGGGGTGGGGGTTACCTGCACTGATTTTTCACCCTGGGGTCCCAAGAAGTCACAAAGGGCAGCCAGGCTAGGACAGCCCCCCATAACTGCACCGCTGGTCCCTGTTCCGTCCACTCTCCTCAGGACGGGTTCTGACAACCAACCTTTAGGCCCAGCCAGGGCCCTGGACCTGATGCAATCAACACATGACACAGGAGACCGTCACAGGCTGCACTGCTGACCTGCAGGAGCGGCACAACTGGGATGGCACAGCCAGGGCTCCCTACCCTGAGGCTATGTGGGATGATGGAATTCCCACTCATCTTCAGAACTGTCTTACCCACCACAGCACAACTAAGATGCCTGTCAGGGTATGGCTAAGCCCAAACTTCACTGGGCTCTCATGGCTGAATGTTAACATCCTCTCCCGTCTCAGGACCCCATGTGGGATGTCACATCACACTCAGGGCAGAAAACTGAGGTGTGGGCCACAGATTCCTGCTGGTAGCCACAGCCCCCACTTGCCTGCCCCCTGGGGCTCTGAGGAATCTGACACAGGCTGGTTTGGAGGCAAGCTGCCAAGTGCTATGCTGATCCAATCCTGGTGTCCCTGTGGCTATGAAGAAAGATGGACTCACTCCACACCATCCAGGCCCAGTTGCCTGCAGGAACAGGAGGGGAGCGGCTTTGTTCAGACCTAGTCGTCTCCTGTCAGAGTAGAAGAATTGGTTGTCTCAAGGCCTGGTTCAAAGCTTATTTCTCTGTGAGCCCCAGCACTGTCCAGAGGGTTGTGTGCACAGGCTTACTCTGAATGTCCACCTTGGCTCACACACTTCTTACCTGGCCAAGCTGTCCTGTCTGAAGTGGCCATGGTAGAGAACAGGAACCAGAACAGGCCCAAACACTTACCAGCTCCACCATTTCAAGTCCAAACCTCCAACACCAGGCTGAGGAACAGTCAGTTAACAGCTTCTGAATTCTTGTTCTTCAGTTCCATTAAAAAGCATGTTCTCGCCGGCACGGTGGTGCACTCCTTTAATCCCAGCAGAGGAAGAGGCAGGCGGATCTCTCTGAGTTCCAGGCCAGCTAGGGCTACAGGAAGACTCTGTCTCAAAAAAAAAAAAAAAAAAAAAAAGGATGTTCTCGTCGTCCATCTCCCCCCACCCCCAACTCTCCCCGGCCAGCTGGGCCTATCGCCTGCCCTGCTCAGGCTTGGTCTGGTGTCAAGTTGTTCAGTGCTGCCCACCTCTGAAGCTGTACCTCCCTACCCCAGTGACACCCTCCTGCCAACCCCACAGCTTCGGGTCCCAAAGGCATCCTCTCGAGGCTGAATTTGCAGACTGCTTCTGTCAGGTGGTACAGCCTCTTGGCCATGGTCTTCCCGCCTCGCCCATGTTCCCCCTGGCCCATCAACTCCCAACATCCCAACTTAAAGGAAGTAGCCTCTGGCTTGCCTACATCACATGGTCTCTATTCCACCCCTGCAGACAACAGCAGGCCCAACTCTGTTCTAGAACAAATGAGTGGCTATGTGAAGGCCGCCACTCAGTGAGCAGCAGGCATTGGCTGAGGCCTGGCTTCTGGACAGAGCTCTGGCAGGTGCTGTATTATCTCAAGATCAACAGTATGGTTGTGTAGGCATTCTGATCACTTATGGGACCAATGAGGGGTGAGTCAGATTTCCTGGGTCTGTCCTCTAGGGCCCACTGGGCTACATGGTCCAGACTGCCTGCCCAGGGCCTCCTGAATCCTTCCACAACCAATGCCTGGCCCAGTCAGCTTCTCTGACTGCCCCAGGTCCTGAAGTGGTAGGTACACAGGGTGAGAAGGCAGTTGGCATAAACAAGTAGAAGCGAGGCCCGTGAGACCCTCACCATCACAGCCACCCCGCGGGACCCGGGGAGGGGGAGTGCATCACAGCCACCCCGCGGGACCTGGGGAGGGGGAGTGCATCACAGCCACCCCGCGGGACCTGGGGAGGGGGAGTGCATCACAGCCACCCCGCGGGACCTGGGGAGGGGGAGTGCATCACAGCCACCCCGCGGGACCTGGGGAGGGGGAGTGCATCATAGCCACCCCGCAGGACCCAGGGATGCAAAGGAAGCTGCTTTCGGCCAGTGTTGACTGTGCTCCCTTCTCACCTATCAAACCACAAACCACATGTACAAGGCTCTTTCTCGTCCACATTCTTTTACTCGCTCCCCAGCACTGTCTCCTAAGCAGCACTCCTACAGCATCAATTCTGCCTCAGAAAGAATCCTGGCTCCTGCTGCCTTCTGCCACCCACCTGCAATTAGTAAAGCCACTTCACGTACCTCATCTGGTCTTAATGCTCCATTGTACCCCAGACCAGTCAGTACCAGAGCACGGCAAATCTGCCCCATCTCTGGCCCAGGCACTTAGCAGCGGTCAGCTCGGACCAGGCTATTGGTCCCTACAGGAACCAACACCTGGTCCATTACCTGCTCTGCCTGAGCCCACTGGCACCTCCCTGGCCATGCTCCCCACCTGCATACCTCGGTGTCTCACTATGCAGCTCAGGTTGGCCTTGAACCTATGACCTTCCTGCCTCAGCCTCCAGAGTGCTGGGATTACAGGTGTGCACCACCACACCCGGGTCCACCTCTGAACATCAGGTTATAAAGCTGTTTTCATAACTAACACAAGCAGCTGGTTCTCTGGGCAGTTTCCAATATTTCATCATACAAAAATGGAGGGGAGGGGAATCACGGGAGATCAGTCAATAAGCCTGGAGAAATGTCAGCTCTTCAAGTACAAGTCTTGCCGAGAGGACATCTATGATGGCCACGTGTGTCCCAAATCCCATGTTCAGGCCCTTAGCCCCAAAATGCCAGAATGAGACTGGGTTTGGTAATAAGGGTTTGAAAGAGAATTGAGGAGAAAAGAGGTCATGGGGGCCCCAAACCAATCTGACTGGCGTCCTTATAAGAAGTAATCAGGACACAGACAGAGGGACACCCATATAGAGACACAGGGCAGAGACTATCTACAGGCTGTGGCAAGTGGCGGCGGAAGGGCTGCCCGCCATCTCTTCTCAGGCCTCCAGCCTCCAGGACTTCGAGGCAAACTCTGCTGTAAGCTGCTCAGCTCTGCAGTTAGAGTAGCAGAAGATGAGCCCAGCATCCCTGCTGAAATCCATACAACT